TGCAGATCTTTGTCAGCCATAGTAGTCTTAGCCCCACTAACTCCATGGTCCATGTTTCTTTCACATCCTATTCTTACAAACATTATTGTAAAGAAGCTACATGTTTCACATAAATCACAATGCCCTAAAAATATATCATGATATGCCAGCTCTGACTCTGACACACATTTTTATCCCTTTGTTGGTGCAAAAACAGTAGGAGGATATTGAATATTCAAAGTGGTTTGTAATCCAGACATACACAAATTAATAATATCTTCAAATGTGCACAGATTTCTTGTGGGATTTTGTGGGAAACACCGAATGAAAATGAAGCGGGAGTAAAATCTGAATTACTGTATTACTCTATCTTCTCTGTTTTTCACCGCTATTGTCTGTTCTTCTCTCTCTTTTTCTCTCCCCTGTGTCTCTCTCACTCTCTTTCACTCAATCATATTTTCTTCATTTTCACCTTCATCATCTCATAATCAAACATCCCAGATTACATTTTCTGAAATGAAGTCAGTGTCACTTTGCCTCATGTGTCCAACTGTCCCTGTTTATTCCACCTGATGAGCCAAGGATGCTACACTGTAAAAAATGAGTCAAGACATCTAAATATTTGACGCTGAATGCAAGTTTCACCTCAATCATTAGACCATAACCAGCACTCTGATGTTTAAATGGCAGGCCGCTTTAGCACTGGGACTCTTCTACTTCTGCGCCATGATGTTGTGATATCTGCAAAATGTGAATGTGTTTTTATTTTTGCTTAATATGCAAAAGTCATAGTTTGGATGGCAACGTATGTCATACATAGATGTTGTTAAGCATTAATGAAGCTTTCACAGAGGCGTTAACTTGCCAAGGTTTGGCATTTGTGCATCCCTATACAATAAGGGATGTTGGTTTTTGAATGTGTACTGACAACAAGGTGAGCGATTTCTTTCCTTTCTTAAGTGGAGCATATTTTGTCGATGACTTTCAAAAAGAATGAGAAAAGAATTAATGATAAATGTTTGCGTTTGTGGATGCAACTGTGTTCTAGGACAGTATTTTTTGGATGTCTTTTGAGTCCATGCAGAGATTTCCACTACAGAGTCAGGTCTATTTTTCATGCAGTTTTAGCTCACAGCCCAAAGATCACTGCCTTACAGTGTAGGTATTTAGCCTTATCCTTTTAAAATAAAATTCTCTGACTATTTTATATTACATATAGTAAAAATTGAAATCCAAAAATTCTCTGCAATTTTATGGTAAAGACAGTTTTTCTAAAAATCTTTCCTAAGAGACACAACCTTTCTGGAATGCCCTTTTTATTGAATTTCCCTTCAGGGATCAATAAAGTTCTTTTTCGTTTTACACAGCCATGTTGCTAACCCGTTTTACAGTCATTTGAATACTTAGGAGATGACTTACATCAGAGTTGTACAACTTTTTCTAGACTCTGTTGTTCATGTGCCAACATTTCCTGAAATATGCTGTAATCAGATTTAAAATGAACACTTATATTTTTTAATAGAATAAAACAAAATAATTTATTTTAGCTAGAACATTTAAATTGTTTGCTTTGCACATTTTTAGTTTTAGCCAGGAGTTTTTTGTAGGACACAGAATTTATTAATCAGAATTCCCAGCACTATTCCTGATTTCTGATCTGGCATAGACTGTGGCTATAACTGTCCTGTGAGGACAGTTTGGCTTTTCTCTTTGTCCCGGGGCACTTTTAGGGGCTGTAAAATGCATTAAAGCTTCCTTAAAGGATGCATAAAACAGAGGCTGGAAGTCTTACACTTCACTGACAGACACTGACTGCAGGGTGAAATGTAGAGAAATGATTTGTGGAGCCTGTCATGTTTTACAGTGTTCATCTCGCGGGGTAAAATCATCCTAACAGATCAGATCAATGGCAGCTCGTATAAAGACGGATCAATACTGTTTAGAGACAGACTGATCAGTAAGACCGGAGAGTTCTGATGTCTGGGAGCCTCGAGTTTAATGAAGGAGACAGACGGAGACAGACACAGAGGAAGAGGAGGGGACGGAGGACTGGGGAGTTTTATCCACTGCCCTGCTACTTTAACTTTTCACCCAAATCTTCTCACAGTTTTGGTTTCACTCATGTGTGCATGGACATTTTATGAGTTTAGTTTTGTGTAAAGGGACCATGCACATTAAGTGATTGTGATTAAAAGCTGTCATCCTTGCAAGTCGGAACCATAACAGATGATCAAGTGAACAACTTTAGGGCTGAAATCCAGTCAAGTGTTATCTCTTCTGGTCAACAGCTACTGCCTTAATGCTCTATACTCTACTACCTGGATGTAAACAAGCACAGATGGCTGATGGTATTTCACAGCCTGAGGTAGTTTGTTCATATTTAGATCTAAAAAATCTTCTGTGTCTTGTTAAACTGGCACACAACTTTTTCACTGGAGCCATGTGTACTACGCAAATGCATCACAAGGTTTTCTTGCATGGAGGACTGAAGGCTAGTGGTGCTAACTTTACTAATGTTAACCACATGCAAACAAATCCCACATTATTTACCCACCAGTCTTTAATCAGCCTGGTTAGATCAGCTGTGCTTGATTTTGCCTTTTTCCTGATTGTTTATTACTCTCAGGCAAGTTGTTTTGACAGATTTAAATTATTATCTAAATGTTTAAGAAATTGGTCACATCCTTTTTAAAAATTTAAAGGTGCAGTTTGTGAAATTTAGTGACATTTAGCAGAGCAGAGATCTATGATATCATGACTATTAACGGGAATAAACCAAACCAAAATAGTCTTTAAAGCTTAGATCCAATCCTTTCATTAATAATTAATAATTAAAAAATAAGAATTCATATTGTTATCTCTATTTTTCTGAGAAACTTGAGGTCCAGAAATAAACAACACACAATATGTAGAAAAAAATTTAAATCAGTTTTTATAATAATGTAAGAGGTTGCTAAGAAACTGAGCCGCTAATTTGGTCACATATGTAAACTAGCTACTGTCTGAGGTTAATTAATATACCCTAACTAATAATCAATTTGGCAAATACACATTATCTAAGGTCAGAGTAACTTGAACATTAACTCATGATGAATAAATGATGTTTTCCACATGAATTTAGACACAAATTTGTCCTGACTTAGCATTTCTCAAACATTGATTCCACATTAATTCACACAAAAAATTGTACTTTTGTTGTAAAGTGTTACTGATTCACTTCCACTGAGGTTGTTTTGTTGTTATGATGCAGAAAATGCTGAAGTGAACTTATGTTTGAAAGCAGATGGCTGCTGCCCACACTGCACCTTGAGTTGATAAAGAACAGTACTCATCAGAGCTTTAACATGCATGTCAAAGTTGATGTATGTCTGCCTCTATGGCTTAACTATCATGACCAAATTCCTCAATATGATCTACTTCTTCCTCCTCTCCAGCTGCGACTGTTTCTCACATGCTAATGGAATTGTTCACCCTGCTACAGTTGTCCTCCTCTTGACTGTTAATGCACATACTGTAATGACTGTAATTGATTAAACAATAAGTGAATTAGTTAGTGGTGTTCAGCGGTAAAATTTTACAGACACAGATTGATCTGAGGTCTGGTGACGGCTCCTTTATCTCTCACTTTTCACTCCTGTGTTTCTATCTTTTTAAACTGTTTCTATCCTTGTTACTTTCCCAAATTCTTCTGTAATGAATGAGTTTTCCCCTGTGAGTGTGTGTGTGCGTGTACGCGTGCATGTTTGTGTGTGTGTGTGATTGATGCTGGACAGCTACAGTCACGCACCCGCTAAAATTGATTGGCCGGAGCGACTCCTGCAATCAGCGAGCAGTGACCACCACCTCTTTTTCTTCCTCCTTTGCCTCCTTTCTCCTCCTCTTTTGTCTTTTCCCATCACCTAGTCTCGTTCTTTTCTCTTTTCTCCTTTTTCCCTTTTCTCCCCCCTCCTGCTCCCCCTCCTCTCTTTACCCCCTTCACTTCTCCACACCTCGCTGGTCAGAAGGGTTGCCTGGAAACAGCTGCTCTCCCCCTGGCCAGGTATTGTGTTAATGTGAAAAGAGGAAAGACAGGAAAAAGATGAATAAAAGAGGGAAAAGAGCTGAGAAAGGAGGGAGAGATGGAGGGAAAGAAAAAGAGATAAAACAAAAGAAGTTTTGCTCAGGAGGAGCGATGAAAATGAAGAAGTTAAAGGAGGGAGAGGAGTGTATATCCTTCAGCACAGAGACCATCTCCTCTCCCCTAATTCCCCCATTTATCTTTTCTCTGCTCTGAAAAGGAAGAAATTGACCTTTCAGCCTGTGGACATACAGAGCCGCTGGCCTCAGACCAGAGCCCTGCAGAGACACAGTTCAGGTGATGGACTCGGATCCAGTGCCTTTAAGGTTGAGAGTTCAGCAGCTGGAGTCTGGCTGTGTACAGACGCTGTGATGTGGACGTGCGGGGAGCCATTGTGATAAAATTGCCACTTTCCTGGAAGGCTGATTCACCTCTCTGCTGGGATTTTAGAGCTCAGAGTTCAAACACTGTCATCAGTTTCTATTAGTATCCTCTGTGTTTGTGCAGCGCAGACAACAGCTGTCCATGACTCAAATCATAGTTGTAGTGATGTTGTTGTGAAGCACCAACCTGCAGAGGCGCAGGAGACTGCAGTTCCTCACAGTGTTGGACAAGTTCACACTGAGAATGAGTTAGTTAATGGTTCAGCTCAGGACGGTTTTCATTCAAAAATAGTAACTTTAACACTTCAAATTCAGTCTGCCTTATCCAAACACACACATGTACACAGACAGAGAGAGAGAGAGGAAGAGAGAGAGAGAGAGAGAGAGAGAGAGCTCAGTTCATTGTAATCCACTGTCTACACAATGAGTGATGTACAGTCTGTCTGCTGTCCTCTGTCGATACAGTGGACATAACAAAGCACTGCAGCCATACTATTTACACACACACACACACACACACACACACACACACACACACACACACACGCACGCACGTACGCACGCACACACACACAGAGCCCATCTTCAGAAAAGAACAGGTTCAATCTGCAGGTCTGGATGATGAATTATGAAATGTGGAAACTGGATCCTTCAATGTGACCTTGGTTGTTCCACACGACTCTCTGTTTTCTACCTGCTGAGCTACACCTGGTCTGACAAAAACACACCCACACAACATCAAGGCATTAACCAAGACTTTTAATCAGTGCACTTAAATTTAACAGGACTGATAGAGCATTTATTTATAACATGTAAAAAATATGGAAAAATGTCTTATACTTCCAGATTTACATATATATATATGTTTTTATATAAAGATATCTATGTATATAATTAAAAAAATCATCACAGCCTAAAACCTCATTAGAAAAGCATACATCATGCTGACCTGTTCACACCTGTTCTTGTCATTGAAACAGGTTGATGTGATGTAATTTTGAGAAATCTAAATACAAACACTAAGAGCTGTGAACATATTTCCACACAATTTTACATCAAGTGGGGGTTTTGGGGAGGAGGAAGTATGCCTACAGACAGGTGTGTGTGTGTGTGTGCGTGTGTGTGTGCGCGCGTGTGTACAGTACAGTTTGAGCAGTAATTTCACGCTCCTCTGGCCCAGTCGGAGCTGCAGCCTGTGATGGTGCCCCCTCCTCTCTGCTCTAATGACTATTGATTATTAATTGACTCTTTGATGAGATGTGAGCTCCTCTGATTGGTTTCATATCATAGAGTTCGCATGAAAATCTGATCAGCCTCATTCATGAGTTCACTCTGATTTAACTGAGGTGCTCAGTGGACTGCTGCAGCAGAGCCAAAACAAAGAAACCCTCAAGTCTCTACTTTTACAGGGACAATCTGCACACTTTTCACACAAGAGCAAACATTTTCTGTTTTTCTTCTTTGATCATCTTGATGAGCAAATAAAATGATTATAATCACTTCTGTCATGAGCAGTGGAAGTTTTGTTTGTAGCTAATGGAGTCTTAATATTCTTGGACCTTTTGACATTTATCTTTACAAAAACAAAATACAGCTTTATAGGTCGGTTGTGCAAATAAAAAAAACAACGTTTGTGTTCAAACGTTTGATTAATCTTCCTCCTCAGTGTTCCACTCTAATATATAAAGCTGCAGCAGATCCACCAGAGCAGCTTCACGTGGTGCTCTGTGAAACATCTTTTGCACAGACAGCTTTTTCTGTTAAAGGTGCAAAATCCTGGAACTTGCTACCTGATCTGAAACTTATTGCAAACCTCACCACGTTTGCCGACACAGAGCGGATAATTGTCCAAATATGTAACGCTGTAGTGAAAAGTAAGTTGCTTTTAGTGTTGGCACTGATTTTTCCTGTGAAGTCTGAAAAATTAATGGAAATAATACTTGGATGCTTGCTTTGCGAAAAACCCTAAATGTAACATCCACAATATTGCCAATAATATGACAAAACAAGGGAAAATGTCATGGTGGTTTTTCATAAATTGTGTCATCCATACCTTTCTAACAGTCAGGTCTGTTGATGATGCAAAAATCAAAGACACCTTTTTTGGGGGGGTCAGTCTTCATTTATTTTGTAAATTTCCATTGTTTTATTCCCCAGACCAACTCTTATCGGAAACATGCTGCAATATCGGATTTGAAGCTGTCATATGACAGTTGTGATTGGCACATGTTGGTCCATATGTTTACATCACTTCCTGTTAGCAGAGTGTGAAACAGTGACAGCTGGTGACTCTGGGGCTTAAGAGCTGAAGAATCAGCAGCTCTGAGAGGAAAACACAAATCCTCACGGCTTGTGATAGGCAGATATCTTCATCCTGGATCTCCTCTCGCTCTCCTCTCTTTCCAGGATCGTTTTACAGCTTGTCTGTCTGTTACACTCACATCTGTAACCCTGACTCCTCCACTTCCCTCATTTGGTTTGTTAATCAAACTGACGTTCAAACCTTCACCTCTTACTTCTTCTTTCTCTATCTTTGCTCAAACGTAAAATGTTTCTTACCAGGATATACTGTATGTCCAGCCTTTTTTTTTAAAATAACAGCACATAAAGTCTGCCCAATGATGAGGACGACTGGGTCTGCTCTGTGTGAGAATGTAAAGAGAGAGACAGTGTGCAGTGGGGAGAGACATTTTATTTGAAGCTGTAGGATCTTAATCTGTGTCTGTTTGACAGCTTTACAAAGCCTTTGGACCCCTGTCCCCCCATCTGAGTGTGTATTTGTGTGAGTGAGTGTGTGTGTTTGTTAGTCTCTGCAGGCCTTAAGACCACCAGAAAGGTCACTGCTGAAATGCCAACAGCTACAGCAGTCTGTCTGTCTGCCTGCCTGCCTGTCTGTCTGTCTGTCTTCATGGGTCTCTGTTACATCTTACTTTCTATCTGTTTTGAAAACAAGCAGAAAATGATATTAGTAATAACATTATGAAAACTGCACTTAATGCATAAATCCAGTCCAGCTGTAATGCTGCGGTGCTTGGATTATAATCATAATCTGAGGTGATTTAATTGATTTTATTGATGGTAAAGTTTCCATCAATAAAAAGCAATTTGCACTGATTTAGTGTTATCTGTACTAGCTTTATGCACAGGTTTGTATATCCATTTAAAGTATTGTAGTCCAGTCACAGAAACTTCAGTCAGAGTTGAGTGTTTATCCCTAGTGTTCAAGTCCAAGAACAAGTAAAAGACACAAGGGGAGAATCTGAGTGGAATCAAAATCCAGGTCCACTTGCTTGAGTCTGTGTCATTTTTAATGTATCCCAATCTTCTTCTCGATGGTTCTTTTATGTATCAGACATGTTGCTCCGCTCTTGTCTGTGTTTACCATAGAACCTTTAAGTTTGAAAGCAGCCAGTGCTCTGGTGCAGATCCAAGTTTGTTTTTCAAAAATCAGAAGGTTCAGAAAACACAACTTGCATTTGCACGGAACAAAATCAGCAGAGATTAATGGTATCTCCTCACCTGACATTACCATTATCAGACCAGTTCACCTTGGTGAATTTATTCTAGGTCTGGCAACAGCAACATAGAGAAGTGAGTGCTCTGATTAGTTGTAAACAGGCCTACAACCAATCAGAGGAAGGCAGTGGCCTGTGCATTTATGATAGATGGCACTGTTCGCACTCAGAAGTTGGAGTCATTAGTTTAATTATGTACAAAATAAGAGGCAGTGTTGCACACAGCAGTCGGTGTCGCCATCTAAATATTTCACAGTATATGAACAGAGATTTCAGTTTTCAAAGATCGTTACATTTGTGCTTTACTGTCTACGGTTTGAACCACTGGCTTAGGGTTAGAAGCAGAAATTGTGCTGAAATACATGAAATGAACGCAGAATACAGAAAAACTTCTGTCAGTTTATTATCCTTATCTAAAGTAGTTTCCATGGAGAAGACTTCAGACTGTCAAGCGACTGTACATGTGGTACCTCATATGACCAAGTGGTCCATAAAGCAAGAATGGGAAAAATTCAACTCCAAATCCTTAACAATTGGTGTCTTGGTAGTATAAAGCCATTAACAACATACTTATGCATGCCTACTTTCATATGACTTCAAATGCATGTTATTGGTCTAAGATTCAATTCAAACATGCTACTTATACAGCTATTTGGTAAATTGAATTTGTCTGTCTTATGCTCATTATACATGTAAACTCTCAGGACAGTTTGTTCATGTAAATCAGTTTATGGACCCAAATGCATTCACACAAACTTCTGAGTTAGAGAGAAAGTGTCATGATATATTCTGTTTGTTGAGTTTTTTCCTGTGATTTGGGTGTATTTTCCCTAGTGTTTCTGTTCCCTATTTCATATATCAGTTTTCAGTGTTTCCTGTTTTATTTTGAAGTAGTTTACTCCCTGTGTTTCTTGTCTCGTTTTACTTCCTCAGTTTTCCCTCCTCTGTGATTGTCTGCACCTGTGTCTTCGTTTCTCACCTGCCTCTCGTTGCTCATTTCCCTGTGTGCATACATAGTCCTCGTCTTCCCCTGTTTCTTGGTTGGTTCATTTGTGTTATATGTTGTTTGTCGATGTCTCTGTGTGACTCCAGTGTCTCTATGTGGTTTTTTCCCCCAGTTCCTTTGTTGGATTTTGGATATTTTATGGATTTATGGTTTTCTTGCAAAGAAACGAATTGGTTTTTGGTATAAAACTTTGAAAACTATCTCAAAAATTCAGTGACTGAAGGGTGCTGAAACAGAAAGTATTAAAACCAACCCTGGTCTCCCCTACTTGCTAGAATTGCCTGTAGCTCAACTTTAATCAGCATTTTATTATTGTGTAAATCAGGTGGTCATAGTGTTTTCCACGTGTGTTGGGATGTGAGAGCAAACTGGGTCCTACTGTTCAATAACAAACACTAATGTTGTGTTAAGGGGCCCAGAGGAAGTGCTTGTACTTGTGAGGCCCATATAGAAGTGCAACGACCCCACAGAGTCCACACAAACAAACACATTTATCTCACTCTTAAACAGAGAATGTTCTCATGATCTTCAAGATGTAAGTGCTCAGACTGGTGCTTGTCGCCTTGAGCATTCTTGGGCAGTGGGTCTCCTATCTGCCTCTATAAGGACGCAGAGCTCCGCCTCGGATGCTGCTGATGTTTATCTGATTATCGCGATACAAGAGCTGCGTCTCCTTAAAGCGACAATCCGGCTTAATTAATCAGACCGTCGGGAGAGGAGGATAGAGTGTGTGTGAGAGAGAGAGGATGCAGATTAAGAGAAGGAGCAGCAGCAGCAACCTCCAGCCGCCATCATCTTCTCCTTGCTGGACGTCTCCGCTTCATTTCACCGCATCCAGGACCTGATACCGGCTGAGAACTGACCCTGCATGCCTGCAGAGAAAACCTCAGAGCCTCCCCTCCTCCTCCCGCCTCTCTTCTCCATCGTACCATACATGAACTGCCGATGCGTCACGCTCCTGCTTCCTGCGCCTTTTCTTCCGCAGATGCGTCGCTTCCTCCTTAGCTCACGTTTAGCTTATGCACCCGGATCGTAAAACGGGGCCTCCTTTTTGCTCACTCCTGCTCACATCTTGGACTCTCTTCTTTCATGTTTTCTGTCAAAGGTGTTCATCATTCCGCTGTTTTCGCCTCTTTTTTCTCCAGCTTTTCGAATCTCCGCGTCCCTCTCTGCCGCCCATGCGTCTTCTCGGCCGCGCCACCGCATCTGCTCCCCCTCTCCACATGGACTCTGAAATCTGCGTGAGGCACGCGTCATTTTCGCGTCTACGCCCTCGTTCTGCTGCGGATGCGGTGCACCTGGGTGCTCGCTGTCTCTTCGTCCTGGCCCGTCTCTGATCCTCTGGTCCGGGGGGGCTGGTGCCCGCAGAGAGGCAGGATGGTGCGGATAGCCAGCGCGCTGGGGCTCGTCATGTTCAGCGTGGCGCTGCTCATCCTGTCGCTCATCAGCTACGTGTCCATCAAGAAGGACTTCCTGCTCAGCACCCCCAGATACGGACCTAATGGAGGATCCAGGCTGTCCATGTTCCATGCGGGGTTTCGGTGAGTGCAGGCCAGGCTGCAGAGCTGCAGACATCTGCTGAGTGTGGGTGTGCATCAGATCAGCTGAGGCTGTATTTATAGTCACTCCAGGTGCAGTCTTTACATGCTGACAGGGTAGAATTCAGGGATGATGCAGTGTTTATGTTCCAGTACAACCTTCCTTTACCATGTCTGTTCTGAATCCATACAAATGATGTTTCTGGTTGTTGTTTTTACTGGATTTACAGCAAAATCCCAATAATGCATCAACTTTACCAGCTGCACCGGTCGGACTCTGATGAAGGCCTCTCTGCTGTCTCGGGCCTGACAGTTCTCTGATTGTAATGTTGGGGTTTCATATATCATCCATATCATTTGGTTAATCAGTGTGAGATTATTTACAAGACAAACAACATTACGCAAGTGTGAACCATTAATGCAGTGAAGGGCGTATAATATGGGATCACCCGTGCTCACATACAGTGGACTTGATCTGTGGTTGTCTGGTTTAAACTATAGAAACCTCACAAACTGAGGAGACGGCTAGCATACAGTGACACTCAGACAACAGTTCAGTTTCAAATCTGTGCTGCCCTTAGGATGGATCTGACACAGTGTTTTTAGACAGAGGCTGCTGACAGATGAATCAGTGCTGACATTTAAGTCATCATAACCTTACACCAAAAATAGCAAAGTGGAAGCCAGGCTAGCTGTTTTCCCCGCCTCCAGTCTTTATGCTAAGAGGAGTTATCCAACTGCAGAAGTAACATGTTGATGTACTTGGACTAATGCTTGAAAGGTTACTATTCCCACCTTTCCTTTCTAGAGATAAATCCATATCCTCTTTAGCATATGCTCTTTAGAGAGCACCAAATGTTCCTGAGTTGCTTACTCATGTGTTCCTTACAGTGTGAAAGCTGCAGGGAGTGGTGGTGGGCAGGGAAGATGAGTCTCTGGAATCAGGACATGGCATCAGACGCACGCTATAGAGGTCACACTGTGTGTGTCAACGTGATGGGAATTGTCAAGTTAGTACAACTAAAACTAGAATTTTAAAATATGTGACCAAGTTAGCCAGACTAAAAGTACAATTTCTCTAAGTCTGACAAACTGGAAGAGTTTCGGTGAGCAATTTTCTCTTGGCGCAAACTGGCATACACTCGTCTTCAGCCTTGGAATCAAACTGCATTAATGTAAATGTGGTTGTTTTTTTAGATATCACCATAAACCCAAGAGATTACATGCATCTAATTTTTTACCAAAAGTAAAGCCCTGACTTCACTTGAAGTTTTTATTTTGTAGGGGTGTTCACAGGAAAAAGTGGAGATGGAAATCTAGGCTGCTGGTTTTTATAACTTCTGTGCATCTGTGAATACGACTTCTGCATTTTGCACCACTGTTACCACAACAACTTCCTCCAGCTTATCTCCCTCCTCAGACTGTCATTTCAAAAGTTTTGCAACAAGTACTACTGCAGAAACGTTTATGTTGATTATTATTTTATATTTGTTATGAGATATGAGATAATCCCACTCACTTTAGATGTATTTTGAGGAAAAATCAGACATATTAAGGACAGTATGATCCCAACATGTCACCTGTATTTTGTCAAAAATTAATACTACAGTCTAATGTCTGTATTTTTTGCACTGCTTATAGCCTGAAGCATAAAGTCATCTGGTAAGATAAAGTCGGATGATTTAATCTCATTAATTAACAAGGAAGGAGTTGCTAGAAAAACCTAGAAGACAGACATCTCTGAGACACTTTCTTAATACAGTTAAAGATACCACCACTGCCTTTTCCAATGATCTTATCTAAAAGTTTCAGCAAAACTTTGTTATTGATATATTCCAGCAAAATGACTGCAGGTGTATTATATCTTTTAGCTAAATGTAGTATAATGCATCATACAGTTATATTGCACAGACTGTCTTTAAAGATCAAATAAATTAAACAACAATTCAAACCGACCAGCTGCAGATGACAGTCATCCGTGTTTTCCTTTAACAAGAAGGCAGCTTTGCCCTGATGAACCGGTTTAATGTAGAACATGTCAGTGTGTTTTCTTGGTCAGTGTGTGTGTGTGTGTGTGTGTGTGTGTGTGTGTGTGTGTGTGTGTGTGTGTGTGTGTGTGTCAGCTGGAAGGAAAATCAAACATCTGTCACTTAATCCCACAGCTGTGAACTAGATCAGCTCATCCCTTCTGTCTCTTCTTAAGTCCATATATTGACCTATCCCTACAGAGTTCCTTCATGCCCATTGACAAGTTTCTTCATGTCTTCATAGCTCATTCAGCCATCCATTTAACAAGCCCCTTATCCTACTTGCTGATGATGGTCCTGATCTTATACTTGTCTTAACCAATAGTTCAGTAAACTATGTGCCACTTTGCTGTGTTGTTGCCTGCAGACATAATTAGCAGCTTTAAGTCCTTTAAGGCTGTTTTATGTTGACAGTAAATCCATAACCAAGGAGTATTTCTCCTCAATAAGATCTGATAAACAGTCTGAGGTCGGCTTTTAGTGTTTCATTTTGGATTTTACCAGTCCTGTGCTTTACATCCTATGTAGGATGATCGTCTCTGTTCAGCTTGCTGGGCACGTAGGGCATAGAGATGCTTCTGGGAAGGAGCTGGACACACTGTGGCACTTCTTGTGTAACATGCAGCATCGACTAGAATGGGAACATATTTGCTGCACAGTACACAACACTGACAGAACACAATGAACACTCATACTGTGGGTGTGAAGCTTGACTGGCTGGACCCATGCACATGTACTGTATTATTTTCTCATTAGTTACATACAAGCAGGAGGATCCAAAAGTCTTGGTTACATTAAATTACTTACATGTTTGCATTCTGCTGGGCACAGCTCAGTGACAGCTGATGTAAATGAACTGTAAGAGTTTATCAGCTCTGATGCCCATCACAGATCACCTAAACATAACCAGATTGGATTGGATGGCAGTTTGATCAGAACTAGAGATGTGAATGGAGAATCAAGGGAGTAACCATGGCAGAGACCCACTGAGCAATAGACGGCTATTAGACCATTTAGATTCTGTATATTTTTAGATGGAATTTAGACGTTGCTCTTTAACCTATTATTCAGTAACTATTTATTTCAAAAGCAACTATGAGTTGCATAACTGACCTCCAAGTACTTACTTACTTAGACTTAGACTTATTTCCTCCCGTTCCTATTGGAACATTGGGCGACGAGTTCCCCCTCCATTTGCTCCGGTCCCTAGCGACCCTTCTTGCTCCATGCCAGCCGACTCCAATCTCGCTCAGGTCTTCCTTGGCTGTTTGTTTCCATGTCTTCTTTGGCCTCCCTCCTTCTCTTGAGCAATATACAGTGTAGCATAGATATAGCCAGCTAGTCTAAACTTGGACTAAATTTAGACGTCTAAAAAACTGTCATTTTTAGACTTGTGGTAGCCTGATTTTAGACCAGTCGTCTAGGCTACATTTAGACGGCTATTAGACCTCTTTTAGACCAAAAAACGCTCAGTGGAAGAGAAGACAGGAACGGTTCAAATCTCTGTTTTTCACTTCTTGATATTGTTGTGCTGACAACACCAGCTCTGAAATAAAACTTCATATAAAATCTACTCTCTCTGTGAGACCAGCAGGTTTAAAGAGATCAACTCCATGTGTTTCTGTGACACCTAGGAGCTTTTCTGGCCACCACCAGTGTATTTTCAGATGGTTAAGATCCAGTCCCTCAAAAGCAAAGAACGTCTGCGGTGATTAATGCATTTATTTTAATGAGGTAGTGTCTTTCTTGTTGTTAGCGGGTTGTGTTAGATAGAGGCAGCCATCTTTGTTCAGTTTGTTGACCAGTCAGAGGCCTTTTTTGTGATCATCTGACCTGTGAAGCCAGGCACTCCTTACTCAGCAGAGCAGCTTACTGTATAAATTTGTGGTGTTGACACAGAAAACCCGTATAAGCCGACTTTTTCCCCCACAGAAAACCCACAGGGACCAGTGAGGGAGTTGTTAGAGACTTGGATCAATAAGCAGAATCAATAATGGCATGGGTATCAATAAAATCCTATCAACTCCTGCCCCTAATAAGAACACCCCTGTTGAACTCTTTCATTATCTGAGCAGTGGAACAGAGAAACTGGGGTTTAGAGTTTGTCAACATGGGTAGAATCAGCCTGTTTATAGAGAGATGAGTGATGTAGCCGAAACATCGGCCTTTAATAGGCGCTGACATCTTGGACTGGAGATTGTCTAGTTTGGCACATGTCCCATCTGTTAACAGGGAATAGGGATAGGCTCTTTGACCTTTGTTCCGGCCAGTCAGTTTGAGGACTTCCAGATGTTTGGCTGAAATTTTAGGAGCTGTGTTTCCATCCATCCTCTTTGCATAAATAGATTTTGATAAACCTCAACAGGACACCTTGGCAGTGCCTATCTGAGGTACCAAAGTTTACTGTTTATTTCCTCTAGTCCAAAAAGCATGTCTACTGGCAGGAGGACAGCCCTCTGATACTTTTCAAGAGGTCTAAGGTGGGCCTCTGCTGTTCAGCTTCATGGAAAATCACCCTGTAAATCTTCGTTGTCTGACATGCCCTGTCAGGTGTGAGTGTGGAGCTAAAACAGCCCCGTTCTGATGAAGTTTCTGGAGGCCAGCGAGCCGTCCTTGACTCTGATTTACTGTGCGAGAGCTGCCTTCATTTTCAACCTGCCTGTAATCATTTTCCTCCTCGCCTGGCTGTCACCTCTGGCCAAGGTTGTGCTCAGTGTGAGTTAGACGTGAAGAAGAGGAGTGTTTTGGAGAGAAAACACTCTGATGGTGGTGGACGGCTATGAAAGAGTCCTGCTGTGTTTCTGGTGGTGAGAGTTTATCTTCAGGAACATTGTGTGAGGTAGTTTCAGCTGCGCAGATTGTAGAAGAAGAAAGTGTTGCTCCATCTGACAGTAAGTGCACTTGAGGAGCAACTCCAGGGCAGAGGATACGAAAAGGAGAATATTCCGAGTCTTACAATCCCTATGACCCCTCGTTCCTTAGAGCCAAAGTAAGACCATTCACAGGACTCTAAGGGTCAGATTTTTATGACTGGGATGTGTTGGCTTCTTCGCTGTATGGATTTGCACCATTGATTCTTGCAGCTAGAGTTTGTTTTGCAGTAGTTCAGGATAAAGTTGAGTTGTTAAGAACCGGAGCCATATTAGTCCATATATATATATATATATATATATATATATATATATATATATATATATATGTGGGATCTAGAATACAAACAGATACAAAGAGTCCTGGAGTTGCTTGAACAGATTGCTTCAGCTCACGGCCACAATACAGTTTAATGGATTTCCCTTTGGGGATACATAAAATTCTTCTTATCTCATCTTATCTCATCTTGAGTTATCTTAATGTGTCTTATCTTATCTTGAGTGTCTTGAGCAATTTCATTCAGAGAAATCCAGCCAATTGCAGTAAGAAAAAGTCTGTTAAATTGCATAAGGATGCAGAAGTTACATCATGTCCGCCTGCCAGTCAACTTGCCCATGCCCCTACTTGTGCAAAATTCTTGGTCGTTATATCCTCAAAATGGGTAAGGCATAAAAATTTAACCCCAATACAACGTGTACAAATGTAGAAATAAGTAATTAGGCAGAAGTTTTTTTTGACCAGCCCATGAACACATTTAATATTGTGGTAAAGATTTACATTTTAAGATGGGTTTAACTGGAGATTTCTCGTCTTCTGGAGTGAGCCTCAAGTGGACAGTGGAGGAACTGCAGTGTTTTGCACTTCTGAGAAGTCGCCACGTGAGTATTTGTAAAAAAAACTTGAAATAAATCAGTGTGCTGATCAAAAGGTAAGATGACTTAAAGACCTGAATAGTCGGCAAAACAGCAATGAGTTTGAGGGACAGCCTCTGATCATGAGGAACGGAGGCAAAAGGAGGTGCTAAAAAGTGCAGTTCCCTGAGTGTCCTCTTGAGGCAGTCTGTAGAAGTAGTCAGCCTGGTTTAAAAAAACTGATTGGGGGTGTACAGGGTCATTTTGTAGATATTGAGGAGAAGACGTTGAATCTGGGGCAAGACTAATTTGACTAATAGGCAGGTACTGTACAGCTATTCTTGTGAGGAGGCGAAAGGCCCGTCTCTGGTAGGATGAAGAAGGGGAGATTGAGTCAGCGTTTCCAAAATAGACATTACTGCCAATGAGCTTCACAAAGAAATGGGTGATGTCACAGCCACTATGTCCATTTATTTTACAGTCTATTGTTGAGTCTGTGAATTCTCCAAGAAATAAACTTTTCTGATGTAAAGTGCTGAAATTTTCCAAACTGCAGCGTACACTTGCACTGACAATAGTGTAAGGCTTTCTTACAATTAGCCTAATTACACGGTTGATCAGTGATTGATAGCCCGGCTTTCAGGCAGTTGCACCACCCTGTAACATGCACTAGCCAAGCTGATTGCTATCCTCTGTGAGTTGGTATCGACAAGCACCTTATGCAACCCTGTTCAGAAAATAAACCAATAATGAGGTGTTGTTTCAGTTAGAATGTCTTGTATTGGTTGTATAAGTATTGGAAATGCACCAAAACTCTGCATGCCAGACCTTTACAAAGACTACCTCGTGTTTTTTAGCATCATTTGTAATAATATAGATAAGAATGAGTTCATTTTTGTATCTTGTGTCACATTCCTCTTCCTGCAGCGAGAGGCCACCTCGCAAACCCGACCTCAGGTGAATACAAGTGATGAGGTTTTAACTACAAATTTTCCTTCCCTTTGTTTTTTGATTTATTTTTCTGGTATGACGGTTTGAGCTTCACTTCTTTTTTTTTTCACTTTCTAGCAGTAAGCAATGAAAACCAAACAGCTCGCTCTGATCCGCTGATCATTTTCTGCTTTTAACTCTTTGTTTCACATTTGCAGCAGCAGAAATTTGGATGTCTCTTTTTGATGCCACCCGCAGCCTCTGCTTCAGCTGTTTTTTGGCAGCCTGGTCCATGACTCTAAATTTCCCCTGACACCTTTTGGATGGTGCAGTGCTGGATTTGAAGTGGCATGAACCAACAAATAATAAATACCGGGAGTTTAAAATCATTTCACAACAAATAATGTCACATTGTGTCATTATTTCACTGTATGTTTCCTGTAAACTCTTGCTTTAATAGAAAAGCTCTATTCAAATGAGTATTTCCTCCTTCTTAGCTTTTCCTCTTAGTACAATAATCTCAGTTACAAAAAATTGTGGACACTGTGTAAAATGTTAATATATTAAGAATTTGATGGTTTGCAAATCACGTGAAAAAATGCCAAGACAAGATATCAAACGCTCAAACTGATGGATTTTATTATTATTCCCAATATTTGCTCATTTTAGATTTCAAGAAAAGTGGGAACAGGGGCAGCAAAACATTAGATAAGTTGTTAAAATTGAGGTAAGTTGTGTTGTCTGTAGTAACCCAGAGAGGCTCAGTACATTATGAATAATAATTGGAAGACTCACCACTTTGTGGGTTAATAGTTCATCAACTTCAGAATTATGTTTAGCTATTTAGATTGTTGGAATTTCATCATCCAGATCCTGAGAATCTGAAAAATCTCTGTACAAAATGGACAAAGCTAACAACCAATAATCGATTGTAATGATCTCCGGGCCCTCAGATGGCTCTTCATTCAATATCAGATACGTCACATGTAACTCTAGAGAAGAAATCACTGCTTGGACTCACAATGATATCCAGAAACCATTGTCTGTGGACACAGTTTGTTGTGGTGTCCACAAATGGTTCAGACTGTACCATGCAAAGAGGAAACCATTTTTCAATATGATCCAGAAACGCAGGCAACTTCTGGACTCAAGCCCGTTTAAGATGGATCAAGGCAATATGAAAGCCTTTCCTGTGAATGAACCTATTTCCTTTTGGAAATTATGGACTGTGTAAACTTCACAACTGTGAAAGTACCTCAGGTGCTGAACAATATAAACTGGTTTAGGAGTAAAAAAAAAGCATGACTACCATTAAAAACATTTGGTGCATCATGAAACGAAATATATAATTTTTGAGCAGCTAATATTTTTCATCTGTCAGTATTTTTCTTTCCTGACTGTAGAAGCTGGTCTCCTCAGTTCCCAAATGTCTAAGACTGTTAGAAAAAGGACCTCATGGTTAACATGCCCCTGTCCCTACTTTCTTGAAATGTTTTGCTGGCATCAAATATAAAATAAGCATATATTTCTTACAAAACAGTACAATTGTTTCAGTCTTTGCACTACATTGAATTAGATATAGGGTTGAATGGTTTGCAAATCTTTGAATACAATCATCACCAACGTTTTATGCAGTATCCCAACTCTTTGAATTGGGGGATGAAAGTTGTAGCATCAACTGAGGAACCATAGCCCAAAAAGAAGTTTCGAAATCTTAATCTTGGTTATTATCTTCTGCATGCAAGATAATAACATGTTTGCATAATGGCTGTCAGGATCAGCATGAGAAAGTGATGGAATATAATCAAAAATTTGCATGTCTGACATATTTACAAGTCCTGATAAGAATTAGATCCTTCTTTCAATACTCAAACTTGAGTATTTGAAGTATTGTTATTGACTTATTTGGATTAGTGCTATTTTCATGCTGATCTTCAAGAGCTTCACTACTTTGATTGAGCTGGACTGACTTACAAAATTTGCAGATGCTTCAACAACACGATAAAGCTGCTGGAGGTCTGACTGCCATCATATCCAGGTCAAACAGTATGGACACACCTTTTTAAGGTTTGCTCTTGGCTGGCCAGACCTCTGAGAGGTGGGGTTTTACATTCAGGACAGTTTGAAAATTATTTGAAGGGCTGTTTTTCCTGTCTGAACTGTCCTGATGCAGCAAACTCCACTGATTTGGTCTGAACCAAGCTGGACGTCTCTGGAAAATACTATTTGACCAGTTGTTTCTGCCATAGCAGAGTCGTGACCTGAAACCTTGACATTTCAATGTGCTGTCTAAAACAGAAGATTTCTCATACCTTGGTGTTGGTGTGGACACCTTTCGGGTCTAAATGGCTGCAAGGGCAAAATGTATTAGTTGCTTTGGGGGTCGTTGCAGCTGTGAAATGTGGTGTCATGGCTGCAATCTAATCCTCCTGGGCTAACCGAGCCTAATCACCCAACAAGCAATGAAAAGTGCTTTTTCCATTTCCACAAGGCTCACATGATTTTTCAGAAACATGGAAGGGGAAAAGAAGTCGTACATTAAAATGTCAAGGTCTCCCTCCCTAAATTAAGCACATTGAAAAGATAAGAAATGGGACAAGGGTGTCACACGATTTATCTCTGGTTGACTCTTGTTTTATTTACTTTGGTGTGTAGTTGAAAGAGTTGAGGCTTCTTGCACTGCAAAAAGTGTTCATCTTATTAAGAACATCAACCTCCTGCTTTATCTGAAAGTGAGATCAACATCTTAGTGTCCCCGTCTTTCTCACACAGTTTAAATAAATTACGTTAAATGCATCTTCTCTGGAATGAGTCTAGTTTTAAACTGTAAAAGAGTTGCATGCAAGTAGAAGACATTTTTAGGATGACTAAAAGTCACAGATGTCCTGCTAAGACGGACAGAATATGTTCAACCTTACTGCTGTATGTTGATTTATTCCTAATAAGAGCCTTGGTAGTGACTGAAAGATACAGTATGTGTTAATGAAACTATCTGAATCTTTTTTTGACTACTGCAGGGATGGCTCCTTAAACACTTTCACATTTCAATGAACTTCTTTTAGATGCATATTAAAGCAAAAAATAAACAAACTATTGGAAATTTGGATGCTTGATTCTTTGTTTGAAATTGTACTAGTTTGTGCTCTGTCATGTGGGCCTTTTATTTTTGCAGACACAACGTAACTACAATGTTAGCAGACATAAGCAGTCATACGATCTTTCCTAAATCACTAAGTCATTTCTATTTCAAAAAATTTAAATGCAAGATTTTCAAAACCTAGAAAATGTAGATGAAAAATGATCATAAAATTCTTCAAATGATTGAATCAAACATATAACCATTTGCAAGGGCTTGCACTTTATCTCAAATCTGGTGTCAATTTTTATATCCAAAAAGTTCCTAGAGAGCTGAACTGCTCCTTTGAACATTTCAGAGTGGATGAAGCCGACCTCGTCCTGACACAGGAATACCGAATTAACATCCATGTCTCTATCTATGTCCCCCTCTTCCTCGTTTGTATAGCTCTCAGTTGGCCATGAAGTACCTGGATCCAGCTTTCAGCCCTCTGACCAACTCCCTCACCGAGGATCTGCAGAACTCCTCCAAATGGAGGTTCAACAGCACCGCTTTCATAAAGCTCAAGTAGGTGATACACAAATATACAGTCAGTAACTTTTCTCTGTCCTTTTGTTGGCCTTGTTTCTACATTTAACTTAGTTGCACTCAGTTTTGTGTCAGTCCAGAAGGAAAGTCTGCAGATGTGGAGGTATCTGCTCCTCTACCATCCATGACCCTTAATCCGCATGCAATCCTGTTTAATGCACATAGAGATATAAGTGCATTACATTTGAGTCACTGTCATCACAATTATTGTCTCTGAAGGATTTCAGTGGAAAGCTGGTATTTAATGAGTTTGAAGTTCATCAGATCTGTTTCGTTTAAGCCTCTCACAGGATTTTCTCTCAGCTCTCTGTTTGCCATTACTGCAATTACATTGTGTTATTATGACCACTTTGCCAACTGTTGTGCCGAAAGATAGCAGAGCTTGACTGACCAGTGTGACATAGAAGCCCATGGAAAACATGCATTTTGTTGTTTGCAAACAGTTTAGTGTACAGCACTTCTACTCTCCAATGGATTAATTAAAAAAGGCTCAATATCTAAATAAACATGGGTACTGGGATCAGGCTACCAGCACTTTGGTTCCCCAAAATTTTTAAGGTAACTTTTTAATGACTGCCTGTCATCTTAGGAAATGTTGGAAGTAACGTGGACACGTTATCGGAAATACCTGATATTTCTTGCAGCCAAATGTTTTTTACAATTTACCAGGTAATCCGACCTCCTCACTCACTTACCTCCAGGCAAGCTCCTTTTTATTTCGGTTTTGGTGATTGTAAGAAAAGGTATCATATAATTTGGGGCACCCACACACCAGCATAATCAGTTTGTCCTCCATTTTAGATACCAGCGAACAACTGTTCATTTTCATACATCACCCGGCGACCTTTGTGCTGATTTGCTATCACGAAGCGAACATCTGCTCAAAGTTTAGGAATTTTCATCTCCTGCCCAATTCGCGCCACCAGAGTTGCATGAGCGTCCAATCGGGTCTTTGCATTGACTTACAATGTAATTCAGTCGCGCAAATGATTTTATTCGTGCTTGGTGTGTGGAGACAGTGACACCATGGGTCCTATAATATGCCCAGTATGGTGTGCAGTGCAAGTATAATTGTTATTTTCCACATCATACACTTGCCGTTTCTGCACCCAGAACCCATGTTGTGTAACCAGCAAGTAGACATGCCCCCACCTTAGCACCCATGGGTGTGCTGCTTTAAACATTAGGTCTACACACTTTAATTTAAAAAACTTAAATTCAACCTCTTTGTATCCCACACCTCTCTTAACATCTTACTGTGTGCTGCCAAACCAGCAACATGCAATCCATGCAGTCCATGCACTTAATACCATGTGTTTCAGGTCACTTAGAGAAGGCTCTGTCATGTTAAAATTGTTTTGGTTGTGAAGTTGATCATGCTGCACTGCGGTATGGATAGCAGTCATGAATAACTGTTCTTTATGTGAAAATTTACAGCTGAGGTGCAGATAACAACAAAAATGTCCTTATTTTCTTGCAGAGAGGAGATCGCTCAGTATATTGACATCCCTCACAACTTCTCGTTGACAAGAAACTCCGTCCGTATTGGGCAGCTGATGCATTATGACTACTCCAGCCATAAGTACGTTTTCTCCATTGGCGAGAACTTTCGCTCACTCCTCCCGGAGGTTTCGCCGATCCTCAACAAACACTACAATAGCTGTGCGGTGATCGGAAACAGCGGCATCCTCACTGGCTCCCGCTGCGGGCCCCAAATCGAGAAGTTTGATTTTGTCTTTCGCTGCAACTTCGCGCCAACAGAGGTTTTTAAAAAGGACGTTGGGCGGCGGACAAACATGACAACTTTCAATCCCAGTATCCTGGAGAAATACTACAACAATCTACTGACTGTGCAGGACAGGAACAACTTCTTCCTGAGCCTGAAGAGGCTGGATGGGGCCATCCTGTGGATCCCCGCGTTCTTCTTCCACACGTCAGCCACAGTGACGAGGACACTAGTTGACTTTTTCGTGGAACATCGTGGTCAGCTGAAGGTCCAGCTGGCCTGGCCTGGAAACATCATGCATTACATCAATAGGTAAGACACACCATGATGAAGTAAATTAAAGATAAATTAGAGGGAAAACATTCAATTTTGGGCTCTTTTTTCATGTTTTTTACAAACTAAATAAACTGTTTGAAAAATTTGTAATACGTCAGAGAAGCAATGTGGTGGCTAATAGTTCAGATTTTTGTCCCTTATGGGCTCAGATTGTTGGTTGGCAATGAGACAGGATTCAGAAAGGATCCCAATAGAGACAGACTTATTAGTAAAGATCAGATTACTACTTCGAATCGCCCATTATCTGGCCTTTCTTCTAAATCACAGACTTTAACATTTGTGTGAGATTGAACTGCTGACCCGCTGACACTCAGGATATCAGCCTGAGCCTGTCAGCAAGAAGAAAAATAAAACCGGACTGGATGTACTTTTATTTTGCACAATGTACCTGAAAGATTGTATTCCAGAGGTTAGAGCTTTCAGCCAAAATTATTCCAATAAATTTTGTAATCAGACATTATTATTTCTGAATCTTTACTCAGTGCACTTAAAGGGGCTCTTGATATCTTTATTCAGTCTGCAGTGCAATAGGATCAATGTGCAAATAAGGTAGATGAAAATGCCAGACACGCCAGTCTTCATCATGCATCGGTCAAGAGATGCACGGGCTCAGCCAAAGGCTGTCGTATTAAAAGATTTCCTGAATTAGAATAGATGCTAGGAGTGTGAGAAATCAGACACATGATGACAAATAATGACAGATTTGATGGTTTAACTCTTAGATTGTGGTTACAGTCCAAAGAGTATCTTCTCAGCTGCACGCCTGAACCCCTATTGGACTTTACTGAAAGTACATAGGCCTATTTAAAATATTTATAATTTAAAACCAGTACAGCCGTGATGCTCCTCCAAACAAATAAGAGGCAGTAAAATCACTCCTAACATACTCCACACTATTAGAAAATCTACCAAGATAATGTTAAGAACCATATAAAAACTGGCTCTGCTTTTTGTTAAAAAAAAGGATGATGAAGTCGAAAATCAGCTTGATAAATGTGTAGTGTGTAAGTTTACTGAGAAAGTATAAATCTCTTAAATTTTAACCAACCAGCTAGCCCGACAAATAAGAGGCAGTAAAATCACTCCTAACATACTCCACACTATTAGAAAATCTACCAAGATAATGTTAAGAACCATATAAAAACTGGCTCTGCTTTTTGTTAAAAAAAAGGATGATGAAGTCGAAAATCAGCTTGATAAATGTGTAGTGTGTAAGTTTACTGAGAAAGTATAAATCTCTTAAATTTTAACCAACCAGCTAGCCCGACAAAACACCCAGAAAACCGTCAAAGTTGAGCGCAGTTTATGTAATATGGCTTCACATGTGATCTGGGTGTCTGGAGGTAAATATGTCAAACTTGTTTGTGAAGATCAGCATCTTCATGCTTATGTTGGTTAAACATTGCTCCGGTTGGTTACATGCCAGTTTAACCGGACGTAGCCCTACAAACAACTTAATCTCCATTTTGTCGATCTAAATACTGGCTGAGCCTCCAGATGCCATCTGTCACTGTTCCACCGTCCCTGTCTGAGTGTAGGCTGAGTTCAACAGACAGATCAACTCCTCACCTTACTAACTCCTCAATGGAGCATGTCTTACTTTGTAAAGGACGCATTTTAATTTGATGAAGTTTGAACACAAACATCATGACACTGGATGCTTTTGATTTTAAGCAGGTAATTATAAAAGGCAACAATATTGCTTCTATTTCAGGTAGCCAAACTAACAACAGTGGGAAACATGGAAAAAAACAGCGTTAGCTTAATTAGTCAGTATGACACCACAGTCATATACTTGTTTACATTTGAGTAGCAGAGCATGCTAGACTTATAATAGAAGTGAAAACCAAACTATAGCTCCAGCTAGTGGAGGGGGACAATAGGACAGGATAAACAGGTATATATTAGCAACATTTTGGGATCACTGTGCATTAAATTTTGATAATTAATTGATCAGACTAGGAATTGTGGTGCAGCCAAGCGAGAGAAATGACATAGAATTGGTTGGCGTTTTAACCCGTGCATCCCTAAATTTGTAACTGAACTTCCTTTTGACATGCAGTGATGCCCCAAATTCATTCTGGTCCATTTGCTGCATCAATATGATAAGATACAGACAAAATATCATAGGCTAGATATTTTGTCACTGACATTTTTCAAACTGTCAGCCTGCCATGAAAAATATATAAAAGCACTGTCACTGTCTTTTTGGATATCCAAGCACTGTGTTCTGTCTGTCTGTCTGTCTGTTTGTCTGTCTGTCTGTCTGTCTGTCTGTCTCAATCTGTTTATCTCTGTTTAAAATCTGCTGCGCTGTTTTTGCCCTGTATGTGGAAACTAGCGTGCGGTATTATTGTATTGAGCTGTGCTCCTAATGGTAAGAAGAGATTTAAGCTCCAAAGCCGGATTATAAAGAAACAGCTATTTAGTGAAAGGTATGGCACAGAGCTGTAACAGTGTGTGTGGAGAGGGATTTAAGTCTGGTGCTTAGTGTTGTTAGCGGCAGAATCGGCTGCTCGTACAGTAGCCTAATCTTCACCAATCCCATTAAAACTACCTGCTCTGGAAGAATTATCAGGTTTAAGCAGCTCAGGTGGCTTTCAGCACCTCCAGGACGCTGGAAATGCTTTTGTTGAGGCTCGTTTGGAGAGATCTCCTCTGTGACTCTTTAGAGGACAATGGCTGGATGAACATATCAGCAGTAGGTGGATTTGGTTTTGTTACACATGTCCATAAATTCATTGCTTTCAGTTATAGTTTCTAAGGAATAACTCTGAATGACTTGAAGGAGTGAGTGGTCTAAGTAGGGTTTAATGGGTCCTATCTCGCTGGTGTAGACTCAGTCCCATCTTATGTTGATGTCGATTTTGATGATAAAGAAAAAAACAAAAGTCATGGTCCAGACCGGCTCTTTGTTGTGAATTGGTGCTGTATAAAGAAAGTTTGATTGATTAATTGATTTATTGGATAACTGAAATTTTAGGCTCATCTTTTAATCAAACAACTTGATACTGAGGATTTAAAATGATTTTGACCTTTTCTGTTGTTTCATAAAGATGAGAACATGTTTAAGCCAGATAAACCACACTCAGCAAAGATCATCTTCACGGATCATTACCGTAATGATCCAAATATAAGACGACCTTGCTTACAGTAAGAGCTCAATTTTTTAGGATTAGCTGCACTGATTGAACTATACTGTTTTCATTTTTAATACTTTTTCACGACCAAATCTTGATTAAAAATAAACATTTCTTTCAGTGCTACATTTAATTTACAATTTAATGTAATTTGTTATTGAAACCCTATTAAAGAAAAAAATCAAAATATTTTAAGTTTGTTTTTTTAAGTCATTTTTATTAGATTAAAGCCATTATGAGATTAAATCCATTTACATTATGTTATATTTTAAAAATCTTTTTTTAATAAAACATTTTTTTTTAATGGGTCTAAGTTAACTTCTTATGTTTAAGTCTCCTCTTGTGTAAAATTGTCTTTTCTATTCAACCAACAGCTACTGGAAAACCAAACAGCTTTCCCCGAAGCGCCTGAGCACTGGCATCCTGATGTACACGCTGGCGTCCTCAATGTGCAACCAGATCCACCTGTATGGCTTCTGGCCTTTTGGCTGGGACCCCAACACGGGGAAGGAGCTGCCGTACCACTACTACGATAAGAAGGGCACAAAGTTCACCACCAAGTGGCAAGAGTCCCACCAGCTGCCCGCCGAGTTCAAACTGCTCTACAAGATGCACATGGACGGGATGCTGAAGTTGTCCCTCTCACACTGCGCTTAGGCCTAAAACTGCAGCAAATACACTTTTCCTCCCCTGAGGCGCTTCAACGGGTCAAACAAGTGAGGATTCATGAGGGCCACCAAAAATTAAATCTTTGCTCTAAGGTTGGGTTGGGCTCTTAAGCGGTCCTCAGACCCATAATCTTGTGCTCGGGACAACTGTTTGTACAAATCGTAACAAATGGAGAATGTCAAGTCTGTTTATTTTCTACCGCAGGAGAAGTGGACTCCAGGAAGTTTTAGAAATGAAGGCTGCAGCTGAACTGTACTGGCAGCGCTGCGGTATTTTCAACTTTGGATTGTTTAATGGTGGTCTAAACTCATATCACTCTTGGCACCACAGCTACAAAACAGCAGATTCAAAACCAATCCAAGTTCAGGACTGAATGAAGGAGTCAGAGACCTGACACAGCAAAAAAAGGAGAACCTCATTTGTGAGGTTTGCTGCATTTCAGTGCAATATTATTTAACAAAGATTTAACAAATTCACCTCTCAGGCTGTCAATTACCAAGCTACCATCTGGGGCAGATGCTCAGTATGGCTTCCAAGTTCTGTCTTCATCATGATCAAGACATGATTGATGTGAAGTGGTCTGTTTGGTTGGACTGAGGGGCCAAAGTACTTGGTTAGGTCGAGGATATCCTGTTGTGGTGCAGATTGACTTTTTGTTTTGTGGAGGACTTCAGTTGTTTGACCCATTCCTCATCCATCATCAAGCTGACTGTTCTGTTTACACTGCTTCAATTCTGTTGTCCAGGGCGACCGGAGCAGCCATTTTAGTCTCTGAAAAGTAGAATGTGTAAACACTTCAGATGTTTGAAAGCCTGAAGCATCACATGAAGATACTCCAGGATATCTTGGAGTGCATCTGTGTGGGATGCAGAAAAACATGGTGGAACATCGGTATGAGACGACCGGGAGATCACAAGGAAGAGCACAAACTGCTGGTACATTCAGTACATGAGAAATGAAAGTAAACAGCATACCTGTCTTTAGTCTTGAAATCTTGCCTCAAATTACTGTTTGCATTATTTCAGCATCTTGTTCTGTCTGAAGCAGAAGCAGGTGTAGGTTTTGAAGGTACCTACAAAAAGGTTGGAGAAAGAAGAATTCATGAATGGTCAGAATACACGCACATTTATCTGAGCCCAGTGTAAGACACCTTGAAAGCTCTTCACCGACCCATCCATCATCCATCAGTCCATCCATCTCTCCATGTATTCATCCATCATATGGTGGGCCTTGGTTTCATTTGATATCTGCCACTTTCTTTTTGGGCCTGCCTTCAACAGTCTGTTAAAATTTTTCATTTACATACAGATGATTGTTAGATTTATGTATTTCTGAATATCAAGACAGCATATTTAAATAAGGACTCGTGGCCAAAGCCCCTTCCAAAAATGAGTGCATATTTAGGATTAACTAAACCACAGTCATATCAAAGTTGGAGTTGTTACACGGATGATTTTGCAGATATCTGATGTGCTGTTCCAACTTATCACAATACTAAAGTAAAGTCTCTCCTACACTGGAGTCTAAATCTTTTTTTTGTTGTTGTTGTCCGTTCTTGTCGTGACAAATCATCAACAGGAACCGACAAAAGAAAATGCTTTTCAAACTTCTGCAATACACATGTTGCTATCGATATCTTACCACAGAATCAAGTGTAAAGATCTTAGAAAATCTCCTGTTTCATACAGTTATCAGAAACAGAGCAACATTTTCAATCTCTTGTGATCATATCTGTGTCAAACTGATGAATGTAACTCGTTTATTTGCTCTTTTTTTTAACTCTAGGTTGGTCTCCACCAAGGAGAAAAATATTTGCCAAATGTTCCTCTTTCTTCACCAGCAAGTTGCCAATAGTCCGCCCACCTTGTGGCGAAGGGCAGGAATAATGTGACATATGTTAGCTTGGGTTTAGAATAACGGATCAGTATAGCCATCCACTATATTAATATGAGCACAGTTACAGTCTGTACCAACACAATATTGACCGAGAAACATGAGATTGAACAACACAGCGGTCTTATTTTTTCTAATACAGGTTGGGCTGTTTGCTGTTTATTTTTAAATACCACTGAAGAAACACTACGATTACAACCACATCGCAATAAAGGGCTGTTTCAGACTGGCCATGTGAGATCGCTACTGCTCCCGCCATCATGGTATTCACGCAGGTTTTGACTATATTGACTTAATTGGCCAAATAATGCCCATTGAAAGACTTTCAGAATAAGAGCACTGTGCAAAAATAAGGGGAAACTACCCACAATAAAACCTCATCAGGGTTTTTCTTTGAAAAGCCTACTAAGAACATTACTGTACTCTTTATTTCACTCCTAAGACACATCCTACATATTTATAATAAATGTTGATGGTACAATTTAAATACTCTGTTTGGGCTGGGAATTGTTCACAGCTGGTAAAAACAGGCAAACTTTCTATTCTTGAGATTTACAGATCATGTAACGTCAGTAATCCAAATTTTATCCATGAACATGCACTCCAAAATGAAAATAAAGCTCTCTTAAAGCCATCACGTTCTGCTCAAGCAGCTAGTTTGAAAACAGGTTAAGAGCCTTTTTAGCGCCAAAGTTCACAAGACGAAAAGAGTAAATGCAACATGAATGAAAGTCACTTCTACGCTTACTTTAGATTAAGTATATTCATACATATGTCCTTTTTTTACATGAAGGTGAAACCCTATTTGTTCAGATGATCTATGATGGTGAGCTGGCTGTAAAACCAGAACTATGCAACTGATCAGGAAGATTCATTTTGAGCTCACGTGGTGCCATTTCTTTGTATTACTGTTGCTTGTTTTTGATGCTTTGTTTTTTTATCACATTAAATTGTCATGTATACCGTATGTTAGTTTTTAGCCTTATCGTATCGACCAGCTTTTAACTAAGGTGTACCATTTACACACTGTATTTTTCTTTAATGTTGCATCCACCATAAAATGTCACCTGAGACGCTGCCACACACCTTTGAGAGTCAGATATTTTCTTAACACACAGTCACCAGATCTCAATCCACCTTTGGGATGTGGTGGATAAGGGGAGATTCGCATCATGGATGTGCCGCCAACAAATCTGCAGCAGTTGTGTGACGCTCTCATGTTATTAAAGACAAAAATCTCTGAGGAAGGTTTGCAACACCTTGTTGAAAGAATGAGATGAAGAAATAAGGCAGTTCTGAAGGCAAAAGGGGGTCCAACACGGTACAAGCAAGGTGTATCTAATGAAGTGGCCAATGAGTGTATATTCACTTTAATTTGTTAACATAAATACTGGCCCATTTGGCTTTCCATACAATCAGTGTGTGTTGTTGTACAATAGTTGTCATTTTAAGAGTTAGATTAGCAGTTGTTTTGTCTGTCTTTTGTGCTCGAGGGGATCTCTGTGTGTTTTGTGGTGTTTCTTTTTTTACATGTCCATGAATTATGTGTCATATTCATTTACCTCCTTCAGCAGACATCAGATGATTGGTTATATGTCCCCCCCGTTTTCCTGTAAAACGCACATTCTTCTCTGAGAAACCGTATCACAAAGTACAGATTGAAATGAAGATGGTTGGTTGTGGTTGTCGTTAAATGGACAGTTCTTCAACAAGGTTATAATCATTATTATTAGCATTATTATACTGCTTTTTTGTTTTAAAAAGGTCTGTCAAACCACCAAGCCTTTAAGAAAAGTGTGAATTCACTACATGAAGATAAGGTACAACTTCTATGTAATAAATTCACAGCTGCAGGCACAGTTCTCTTGTTTATGAGTATGAGTTAACATGTTTAAAATATGCTTTTTTATGAAAACATTACTCTTCTCTAAGTGTTTCTGAATTATGTGCTGTCATATGAACTGCATTGTGTCAATAAGACAACAAAAAGGAAAGGAAGTGGGACTTTAATTGTATCTGCAGCTGAATTTCAGCTGGTTTTTGCCTCTTTTTGATCTTAAGTCTATTGCAGTTTTATCATGATATATCTATAACTTGAAATGTGATATTTTCAGGACTTTGACATACAGATTGTTTGAATTAAGGTTTAATAATAAGTATAGTAATGTTATTTTTGACTGAAGCACATTACAAGAGCTAAAAGGATATAACCATACACTTATTTTGTCATTTAAAAAAAAATATATATATCAATAACTGTGGGGTAAAACATTTTAAGAATGTCATTTTTTTGCATTTTGAATGGACATGAATGAGGCTGGCTCCATCTACAATATCAATTCTCCAGATATCACTGTATGAGGGGGAATATAACCACATTATTATAACATGCACAATATGCTGTAGAATAACAAATATGTTTTATTCATCCAATACTTGAAGAGAAATATATCTACTCTGTATTTATTTAAATATTTAGTGATTAAAATGAATGACATTATCAATTTGACAAAGTGCATCCTGTCTTTTTTTGAGTCTAATTAAATCCTTTGTGTTCTGTTTTGAAGTTGACACTGTAAAAAGAATTATATTATAAACACACTTTACCCTCAATTATGTTTATATGATAATTTTATGAACAATAAAGCTGTATTTTTTTCAAGTAATTTACTGTAAATTAGTGCTGTTCTCTATGTATGGTAACATAAGTAGTTTATTTGAATGTCTTATACATTAGCATTATGTATTTTTATAGATACATCTATTTTAGGGATAGATACAGTTCTTGTATTGTATTGTTATCCATACACATGATAAAAAACATGCTATGAATAAAAGGAAGACAGACTGAGGTGACGCTGCTACGAGGAAACACTCTAGGGAGAGTAAAATATGAAAGGAAAAATAAAGATAATGCTGATATGATAATGAAATACTAAGAGATTAATCCAGTTTAATAATTATGATATTTGAACAATAAAAGGTAATCTATTAAATCCACTGCAATGGGATAATTTATTAATTAAGTAGATATAACAATAAGAAATCTATGATGAATGATGTGGTGTATCAAGAAAAGCTCTGTTTTACAGTGTGTGGAACAACCTTATGACAAAGAGGACACACACACACACACACGCACGCACGCACGCACGCACGCACGCACGCACGCACACACACACACACAAAGTTACCAGCATGCAAACAGAGAGGATGTCAGCAGCCTGCAGGTCGATACTTCACCCCGGTTTGTAGAGACTGTGGTGGGTTTGCTCAACCCCAGAGGTCAGAGGTCAGGGAGCGTCCTTTGACACTGTGAGGTGACCTGAAGGAATCAGGGGTTTCAAAATTTTACAAACGGTTTATTTAAAGTTAAGAAAAAATAACATTTAAAAAAACTGAAATAGGTCAAATGTTTGTATTAAAAGTTTTTCTAAACTTATCATCAGTCAGTATCTGCTCCTGATGAACAATTTTATTATTTATAAATCGGTGAATGTAAAATAATCTCCCCTATGCTAAACAGATTTAATAAAATCTAATGAAATAAAAAATGTACTTTAAAAATTTTCCACACTTCCTTAAAAATTTTGTTCATTATGTGAATTTTAGAAATCATTTAATCATTTAATTAATTAATTTTTTTTATGTTTTGATATCTGTAGGCTATGTCTATTTAGCAGCAGCAGAATCAACGGTCACAGGGATGTAGGTCAGCGTGTATGTAAATGAGCGAGGTCAGATGGCGTGCGCCGGGGGCCGCTGACCTCTGACCTCTGCCTTTTAGCCTCGTTGCATCATGACAGCAGCTGCGAACAAAAGAAGACCTGCAGGAGTCAACAGCTGGATTTAAACTGGCCCCCGTAATCTGCAGGATTAGGGTTTCATTTTCATCTGAATGAAGCAATTTGTTAACTTTCAAACACAGTTAATAAAATGTGAAATATAAACAATTCAGGGTTTTTTTTCTGATGAGATTTTAATTTACAGAAAACATTTTTTTGCCCTGTATTTGAGCATGAGTGAAAAGCTTTTGTAAAAATGCTATTGTTAATTAATAAACCATAAATGTAGTCTTTCCTAGCCTTACATCATTTTTATTCTAAAAATAACCCCCACTTTTATTTTACCCGGCTGCAGAGCTAACATTTAAACTGGAGCTGTATTGATTTATGTGGGACAAAAAGTCTCTGCAGAAATATGAGAAAAACAGAGATTAAAATGCTCAAAATTTATGCATGTGCAAATAAGCTGTACTGAGAACAAAAGCCTGAAAACTCAAATGATCAAATAGATGTTTTACATTTTTAAAATTAAAATTAGGGAATATTGTAGTGGAGTCAGAATGAACAGATAAAGAGAAAAACTTTATTGATCGCTGCAGGAGGAAACGAGGTCACAGCAGCAGCAGCAGAGAGGAAAGAGCCCACAGTGGAAATATAAACACAGACCTCATGAACAGAGACTTTAAAGGTATATAATGAAGGAATATTCATTTTTTTAAATAGGCAGATTTATGCAGACGGATGGTGGGTAAAAAATTTAAAAAAAAAAGTTTTTTGGCATGTGAATGTTTATTTTTATTATTTGTTCTTTTTTCTTTTTTTATCAAGAAATTTTAGTTGTCCAGAAACACATTTAATGTTTTTTTTTTTTAATTTAATTTAACTTCTTACTTTTTAGCTGTTGTTTGCTGTTTCTAGATCGAACAAATGCAGGAAGGAAATATACGGTGTGGAGTGTGTGTGTGTGTGTGTGTGTGTGTGTGTGTGTGTGTGTGTGTGTGTGTGTGTGGTGGGGGGGTGGTACAGCGAACAATAATGTTTGTGTTTGGGCATCCACCCAACAACTGCTGCAATGAGTACAGGTGCAACATAGTTTTATGTTTATGTGTGTTTGTATATATGCTGCAGACATATATGATTGTAAAAGTCAAAATGGATTTTGATAATGATTGATGATTGAACTTAGAGTAAAGAAATAAATACTTCAATTGATAATCAAACTGAAGTTTTTAGGTCTTACTTAATTTTCTTTTCTTTATTCATACATTTATTTGTTTTTATTGGCCTATGTGTCTTTATATTTGTTTTTTGTTTGTTTGTTTGTTTGTTTTTTTCTTTTTTATGTATTGTCTGTTTCTCTTAATGTTGTGGTGTATGTCATGCTATTGGGACTTGAGCCTGTAATAATATTTTATTTTTATTTTTATTTTTGCAAACATCCACCTTTACTGAATCCGATTTCTGCAAATTTAAACCACATTTTATTCAAAGCAGAGAATTTGGGCGTTCACCAACCAAATACAACGGCAAAATAAAACATATATTTATACAGTATATACATATATATATATATATATATACTCAATCACCCTCTGTCAAAAAAGCACAAAAAGACAAGTCATTTACCTCGAAAAAGAAAAGAAAAACTCCCCAAAAGTATAAAAAGTAACTGTCTCACTCAGAAAATGAGCACTTCTATGAGATACTGTTCAAATCTTAACATGGTCTGTTCCCGAAGCTTTCTTTGAGTCTGATTTGGTCCATCAAACAGCTCCACTAATCTGCTGTCGTCTCTGATTCAACCATGTGGAGCTCTGAAATATTAAAGCCGCTCCACCTCCTCCTCCTTTCTCTTTCTCCTCTTCCTCCCCTTCTTCCTACTCTTCTTCATCTTTCCTTTGATCAGAGGTGTAAAACCCTCGGTCTGCAGCCGTCGAGCTGATTGTTGGCTCTGTCTTCAGGCCGAGAGGAAATCAATAAATCAAATGTTATGATTAAAAGAGCAACACGCCGGAGGACATTAAATAATCATGGAGGGAGAAGAGGAGGAGGAGGAAGAGGAAGGCCAAGCTTCTGTAGTCCTGCTCTTAATTAATGAGGAGTCTCTTCATGATTAAACATGTTTTTTTTTTTTTAAGAATTTTAACTTTAACATGTTTAATCAAACTGAGCAGATTCATTTTAGGCTGAGAAAACAACATGAAGCAATCTGCTGCTGATTAAAAACTATGACGACAAATTCATGCGCATGCTGACAGACACAAACACAACACAACACCACACAGAACCTCAACAACTGGGAGTCCACCTTTACATTAGTGTCAGTCGCTGTCTGACTTTCTCTGTGCAGACTAAGTAAACCTGTCTTTGTCTCTGATGAGAGATTTCCAGAGTCAGATTCAGACCACCTGGACCCAGAGCTTCCAGGACATTTCAGTCCAACCTCAGTGTTTCTTTTTCTCCCTCTTCTTCTTCCACCTCGACTCGTGACATCCTGTACAATTTTGTCATGGTCCAACAAAACCCCACACTTCATCGTGTCACAAATCGTTATTATCGCGACCTTTGTTGCCTCACACAGTCTATATTTGCAGCTCAATCGTCACTTGTTTACTTTTTTATAATCAATAGTTTGCAATTGACTCTTGAATTCTTCCCATAAATGTTCTGGTCCTTTAACCTGGTTATGACAATCTGCCACTTTTTTTCCTCATGTTGTTTGGTCACATTTTCTTCTCTTTTTTAAAATCTTTGTGAACTTTTATTTGCATCTAAGTTTAACCTTCCTCCTGTGTTAGCTTTTACTACACATCCACCATCTTAAGGGTCGGTTTTGACCCGTGTCTTAAATCAGCTGTAAATTACACTAAAAACAAGTCTCTATAATCTAATTTGGTTCTCATCACTAGGTTAACTTGTTAGGCTTCATTATCCATGAAAATATTTATTTTTTTTTGTGCAGGGAAATACATGGAAAAATGAGAATTGAGAATCTCACATGATTGGAAGAGGATCTGACTGTCAGTGTGGTGAACTAACAGTGCACTTGTGATTTCAGTTTTTTCTCTGATTATTAGATATTGATCTAACTGGGTCAACAGCAACCCTAACACCAGGCCACAAGTGTCATAATTTTAATAAGAGCATTTTATAAATTAGTCAATTAATTTTTTAAACTTTTATTTTGTTGAAATGGAGGTTCCTGACAAAGTCAAAAAGTCTTGATGCAAAAAAACTAGACCCTAACACAGGAGGAGGGTTGTAGAGAAACATTTTCTATTTTGTATGAAAGCTTACATGCTGTGCTTACAAGGATAACAAGATTTCTTAACCAAAAATGAAAAGCAGGTAAAAAATACAGAGATTTACAGAAGCATATTGCATGTGTTCAATGAAGACAAATCATCCTTTGCTTTTCAGAATAAAGAAAAAAAAATGACTCAGAGTAATAAGAGACACTAATAGAAGAAAAATCGTCTCTGTTTTTCTGCTCTTTGGGTGAATCTTGTTGTTTCAGCTGTTCAGTCTGTTATGTCACTGTGCAGTCAGATTGAATTCATTTCAGATTGATCATTTTAAATGTGAGGGCTCAGCTGATCCTGTAAAAAAAACAGAACTTTCTGCTGATCAGAATGAACTTTGCAACTTATCAACTGAAAAAATACCTGTGCAAATTCAACAACCCCAAATCAATACAATCTATGTTGTTTACAGACACAAGAATGTTCACA